TAAAGTCCCTCTATATCCCTCCCCCAGCCTCCCGTACAGCTAACATCTTAGCTAACATCATAGCACACTTCCAAGTACTCCAGGCACAGAACAAGTGCTCTGATCTCAGAGCCAAAGGAATTTCGCAAGTAACACACTTTATAAAGGAACTTAAGTTCTAATGTAAAACACATGCATGTGCATGTGCATGCATACACACACACACATGCACACACAGAGATATGAAAAAAATGTACAAAGGAGTGAGTGGGTTGTGCTTCCTGAAAGCAGTATACTCCAGTCATTGCAATGGGAATTATGAAGTGAGCCAGGCAGGATTTTAATAAAACATGACATCTGGGGTGAAGGCTTGAAAAAATAACGCCCATGGAAGGGCCACAGAATGGGCACTTCCCTAGAATCAAAGGGTCAAAGTAGAAGGCATGGAGAAAAAAAMCTGAGAGCATATACATAGTATAGGGCCAACCTGTGACCTCCTTAACTTATGTCACATAGGACAACCTAAATGCTTCACTGCATGAGTCAGAGGTAAGGCCCTAGCCTGTGGGGGAGGAGGCAGGAACAAGAATTTGATCACCAGCTTCAGGTCTAAGAGGGAAGGCAGCCTTCTCAAGTCAGAAAGCAGGCCCTGGTGGTCAGAAGAGCACAAGGGGCTTGTGTGGATAASAGGTCTGATGTGAAACCAGGGCTGGCCTGCCACAGGATCATCACATTAACAAGCCCCCTGTGATWCCTACATATAATGAACTGGAGACTGGTGCCACAGCCCAGTCRTCTTAACCCAGGCTGCATGTTAAAATTGCCTGGGTAGTTCTGGAACAGCCTCCACTCCCAAAAGATTGTGATTTAATCGGTGAAGGGTAGGACTTAGGCATTGGTATTTTAAAGACATGGTTTGCATGTTCAGCAAACTTTAGGACCTGGCTAAGTGGGGGGGGGGGGCTATCAAATAAGAACCCATCATTGAGAACTGTAGAGTGTGGGTTCACATCACAAACCCCAAGACTGGGCCCAGTTGGTGCTGACTGGTCATCTGCAGAGACAAGACTTYAGGCTGGGTAAGGCGGAAGGAGGTGGAAGACTCAGCCTGATCTAGGGAAAAGCCRGTGTGTGTAGAGATCTAACAATTGACCAGACTTCAATAGTTCTCAAACTTGAATACACATCTGGACCACCTGGAGGGCTTGTTAAGATGCACCTGTTTGAACTCACTCCTCCAGAATTTTTTATTTGTTCTATCTTGGATGGGGGTAGGAATTTGCATAGGAATTTGATTGGGTCCAGGCACGTGCTGTAGATGGTGGCAAGTCACTGATATCTTCTTGGTCTCTATCTCCCAATCATGGGAAATAACTATTAATGTTGTGGACTGAGAATTCTCTGTTGCAAAATTCTGTCCTGTGCGCTGTAGGATGTAGAGGAGCATCCCTGGCCTCTATTGGATGGATGCTGGCAGCATCCTCASTTCAGTTATGACAGCAAAAATGGCTCCAGACACTGTCACATGGGGGTGGCATATAAAATCTCCCTCCGTTGAGATTGCTGATCTCTACAAAGATTTCCACATTGTTTGTTTTTTTAAACTGGTTAATAAAATAATTTTTGTTATTTTGTAGAAATCATAATAACCAGGATTATTTTCAGAGCAAATCACATTACTCTGAAAATGTATGAGAGTCATGCTCCACATAGCAACGTATCAGCCTATGACAGACAGTATATATGACAAGAGTCTGGTAAGATATCACCTTATGGCATTGCACCCATCTTAGTTTGGATAAGTACGTTCTGTGATGGTCATGCAAACATGAAATCATCTAATGGCATAGTTCTCAAGTTATCCCCCTGTCATTAAGTGACCAGTAACTATATCTGATGAGGTCCTAGTATATGACTGGCATGGTGCTTTTTTTTGGTAGAAGGGGACTTGGTGAAAAGCAAGTGCTTTGGCACCAGATTGCATGATTTTCGATAAGGGTTTCCCACTTACCAACTGTTGGATAGCAGCCAGACTTCCTGTTTTTCTCAGTTAACCTCTTATTTTGAATTTTAGATTKATAGAATTTTAAATTTATAGAAAAGTTGCAAAAATGTTACAGATAAAGTCCCTGTATATCCCTCCCCCAGCCTCCCGTACAGCTAACATCTTACATAAGCAACATAAGCAACAGATGGTTTCTTAACTGCTTTCTGCCTCAGTTTCCTCATCTATAAAATGAGGATCTAAGACCAACCCATCTCATACAGCTGTTGAAAGTTTTGAATGGAATAATTTAGGTAAAATATTCAGAAGCACCTGGTACTCATCAAGTGCTCAAACTATTTTCAGTTATTATTTTTTATCATTCCCTGTGGCTTTAAAATCTGCAAAAATGGACGAGTCTGTATGGAGAAACAGACCCCCGTGAGTGCAGAGAATATCTAGCAGCTTTAGCTGTCAGTCTGTGTCTACCTACATGTGTGTGTACTTCCTCCTGGCTGAGATTGCATTGAATCCAGTTTTCCAGCCCACCTGCTTCTCTCCACCGACATCCTGAAGCTTCTGGACTTTGTTTCAAAGTTTGGACTTTATCCATGACTTCTGGACCCTGATCACTATCACATGGCAATGGTTTGTCCTGAGGAAAGTCCTGGTAAAAGGTCTCCACCCTACGTGAGCCAAGCTAAAGGAAATGTCTGTGAGCACCAATGCTTCAACATTAACCACATCCTCCAGTCTGTTCAGCATTCTCCCTCCAGGGGCCCCCTACAGAATTTTACACAAAAGCACAGATGCCTCCAATTCAAAAGCGCATCTTGCTGCGTGTGAGGTTTCTGGGCTTTGGTGTTTGCGGAGAGAATGCTGAGTCAGAACCAACAGCAGAAAGGGTCCTGGGCTCTGGCCTTTAGTCTACACCCAGAGGTAGCAGAGCAATTTGTAAATGCTAATTAAACTCACTTCCCTGCTCCCTAGCCACCACGATAGTGCTCTGTATATTTTATAGATGGGAGGACTGGCCACAAAGGAGGAGACCAACCTTTACCAGCCATACAACTTGCAGAGTGAGAAGGACGACATGGGTCTCCCCAGCAGACCTGGGCTGAGCTGTGAGCCCCACACAGATCAGCAGAGCTCAATCTGTTTGGCCAGTGTGCTGGGTGCTAGAGACAGCCTCTGCCAGGATGGCATTGGTATTCTGCAGGGAGAAAAGAAGTTTCACTCTCACACTAATTACTGTGAGCTCAAACGCGTTCAGTCATTAGAGCTTCACTTTGAAATGGGAGATGAATCCTAATTTCGGAGTTGTCACACATGGTGGCAAATGCTGCCCTTCTAGGTGCAGGGAGGTAGCCTTGCCCATAGATAGCTGATGGTCCAGCTGTTTTACTATTCCTCTCATCTCTCTCTCTCTCTCTCTCTCTCTCTCTCTCTCTCTCTCTCTCACACACACACACACACACACACACACACACACACTCACCTCTGCAGTCCTATCTTCACAGACATAAACTACCCTCATCTGTCCTTCCAGCCTGGAGCTTGCAGACATGCTAGAAGCTCCTTGAAAATCCTCCCACTGGTCCCCATCCCCACATTCTGGTTTTGCTCTCACAAACCCTGAAAGAGACTCGAAATTCTCAGAGACACTCTTGGGTCTGGCTGAATAAGGCTGGCTTGCAAGTGTTGGCCTTTTGACTTCCATTCCTCTGTTGCTGATCATTTTTGCATGKGTCTTTCAAAGCACCAGGTGTGAAACCAAGTGGCTGAATTTCATTTCTGCCTGTCTTCCCGCTACCATAAAAGTGATCTATAACCCATATAGCTCTGACCAGGTCAAGCTTCAGCTTCAATATCCCTCTGGCTCCAGAACTGATTTAAGAAAAAGTTGATTCTCTTTGAGAAAGGCACTTAGAGCCCTTTGGAATGGGTGCCCCAGCTTACGTGTACCATGTGGTTCCTGCCACTCCTCATCATAGACTGGATGCTCCACAAAGGAGCCACCATCTTCTTTCAGCCTGTGCATCATGCCAGAGACAAAGTCTGGGGGGAAGGTAGGGAGGAGTTGTCAAGGCAAGGACCACAACTGCAGTGACAACGGTCACATTAACATCGTCTATGTGTGCTTCTATTTTTAAGCATTTTCTGTACACCAAGCTCTTACAGACTTTATTTAATTCTTAGAACAAGCCCAGGAGGTAGGGACTGGCATCTCACCATCACACAGTGGGGRAAGAGCACAGGCCAGCATCTATTTCCCTGGACCCAAATCTGGAGCCCAGTTAGCCTTTCTGTTAACTGTGAGCAAACTTCTCCATCTCTCTGACCTTCTGTTTTAACCTAGAGTAATCAGACTGATGGGAATTAAAATGATCCCCACCAAGGATTGTAGGGAGTTAACACATAAAAAGAATTCAGGGACTGGGTGTGTAACTCAATTGTAATGTGCAAGGCTCTAAATCCAATCCCCAGCACTGGAAAATAAATAGTGCTCAGAACAGCACCTGGCATGTGGCTGGTACTAATATGCTTTAGTTATTATACAGAGGAAACCTACATTCAGAAAGAAATACCTGCTTGCTGTTCACTCTCATCCTGTTAGCTACATTGTTATAAATTTGGGTGTGGGCAGCCAAATTTCTTCTTCTTTTTGTTTTGGTAGGGGGGGCAGGGTGGGTAACCAAGGATTGAACTCAAGGACCCTTGGCCACTGAGCCACATCCCCAGCCCTATTTTGTATTTTATTTAGAGACAGGGTGGCACTGAGTGGCTTAGCGCCTTGCCATTACTGAGGCTGGCTTTGAACTCCCGATCCTCCTGTCTCAGCCTCCCAAGGCATTGGGATTACTGCGCCTGGCAAATTTCTTTTAGATACTACCCAGCACTCATCAACAAAGGGTCCAGGATGTGTTCATGGTGGCTGTCCTTCAGTGAAATGGACCACAGGGTAGTTGTTGGTGTTGTGTGTGACTGGGGAGTCCCTGAAGCACCTAGAGGCATTGTCCTCTGATTGGCCCACCAGGTAAAAAGCATCCAAGATGCAATTAGAGATAAGAAGCAGCGGTTCAACTTCCTTGGGGAGGAGATTAGCCTGAATCCTTCCGTGGGCATCTTCATCACCATGAACCCAGGCTACGCCGGCCGAACTGAGCTGCCCGAGAACCTCAAGGCTCTCTTCAGGTAAGCAGAAGCTTCGCCCCACGGGAGGGACTATTTTTCCACTGAAAATATATGATGCATATATTAGAGAAAATTCGGAACATTTCGAAAGTCGATTTCTTAAATCTGCTTTTTCTGTAATGCCACCAACAGTAAAATGATTTCTTGCTTAATTGCGTTCAGTTCCTTATGTGTGTCTTTGAATTTTATTACACTTGTAACCTATATTTGTGGCCTGTGTACAGTTTTGTATTGTCTTTTTTTTAAATTTCATAGTCTATCAACAATACTTTCTTCTATTAGATATGTTTAATGAATCTCATTTCATGACGGCATTTTTTTTTAATCAAGTACATGGCCCACAATGTAATTAACTGGTCTCTCATGGTTGAATATTAAGACTGTTTCTAACATTTAAAATAAATTCATACATAATGCTGCAGTGTACATTTTTGTATATAAATCTTTTCTTTTTTCCTGCATGCCTGATTATTTTGTTTGGCTAACATCCCAGAAGTGGAATTACTGAGTTAACGAGTAAGAACATTTTTTTAAGGCTCTTGATACACTTTGCCAAATTGCTTTCTAAAAAGCCATAGTACCAAATTACACCCCTAGTAGTGATGCATAGAAACACCTCTTTTATTTCACCCTTGCCACCATGCATATATTGCTATGTTTTTAAATCTTCCTTATTTTGATAAGAAAACACAAATGCATCTCCTAGCAGGAGTTGGAGTCTACATTCTTTTTGCAAAAACATGAGGTTTGGCCCGACAGAGGGAAAACTGAAGGGTGCTCCCAGCTTTTCTGATTTTCTGCTTACTGATTTTAGGAGAGGGAGGTAAACCATAGGGAGCTATGACACCACTGTCTCATATCTTGGAGTGAGACCCAGTGCTCTCTGCCCAGGTGAAATACACACTTTTACAGACTTCTGAAGCTTTGGGAGGCCCTGGGTCCATTAGCCCCCTCACTTTTTAAAATTTCTTTTTTGGTAGGTGGACACAATTTACCTTTATTTTATTTATGTGGCACTGAGGATTGAACCCAGTGCCTCACACATGTAAGACAAGTGCTCTACTGCTGAGCACAGCCCCAACCCCTAGCCTCTCACTTTTAAACCACTCCAGTCATGGCAAATTCCTGTCTCATGAGTAGCTTGGGTGTCTCCTCATTCAGGCAGGTCCCAACTTTGCCCAAGAGGCACTGGAAGGTTAACAACTTGTCTACACTGCCGCAGAATACTGCATTGCATGCTATTTGTTTATGCAAAGTATTTATTAAGTGAGCTTTGTGTTACAAACAATATTACAGGTAGCTTCTCTCCCCAAATAAAAATTGTGCTTTTTTTTTTTTTTTTTGGTACCAAGGATTAAACCCTGGGGTACTCAACCACTGAGCCACATCCCCAGCTCTTTTTTTTTATATATATATWTTTTACAGGGTCTCACTGATTTGCTTAGGGCCTCACTAAATTGCTGAGACTGGCTTTGAACTTGTGATTCTCCTGCCTCAGCCTCCCAAGTCACTGGGATTATAAGRGTGCACACCACACTTGGCTGTTCTTTTTTTTTTTTTTTAAGTAAGAATTATTCTTTACATTTTTTTCCCTAAATGTAAATGGAACTGTCTTAGTCCATTCAGGTTACTATAACAAAGTACCTAAACAACAGACATTTATTTTTCTCCATTCTAGAAGCTGGAAGTCTGAGTTCAGGTTGCCAATGTGATTGAGTTCTAGGGAAGGCCTGCTTCCAAGTCTCAGATGGCCAAGTCCTCCTTGTGTCTGCCMTCTTATTATAAGGGCACTAATCCAGTTCACAGGGGATCCTCCCTCATGACCTAACCGTTACGCAAAGGGCTTTTCTCCCAATGCCCTCATTAGGGAGGTTCGGATTTGACTACATGCATTTTAGGAGGACACAAACATTCAGACTATCGCAGTATAACACATATATTCATAGAAGAAAATTTGRGAAAAAATGAGAAAAAAATTAGTTTTAAAAACAATAAACACAAACTCTACTTTTTACATTTAATTTTTATAAAGATCCTATGAGGTAGATACTACTAGTTTCTCCCTTCTATGAGGAAAACAGATAAATTCAGCAAGTTGTCCAGGATCGTCAACCTGATTGCTAGAATTGGCCAGTAGCCTGACTAGTAAATGGAAAAACTGAAGCTTGAACCCAGAGTCTCTGTTCCTCCCCAGCCCAGTCTTGTCACCCAGAGATAATCAGCGTCACCGCTCAGCATGTCCCGTCTGCTACTGTATTGGCAGAACATTGCTGAGATCCAACTCTATATTGTTTAGTTTCTTGTCTTCACTGATTAATGTTTTCCCATGACATTTAATAGTTTTCCTTCTATAGCATGCTCTCTCATGGCCACATCACATTCTGTTGTGCAAATGTCTATTCTGACCTTCTGTCCAAGTTACCAAATAAATCTTGAGAATCTAATAAGTATCTGGTAGCTCCTTGGAATTTGAATGCAATGCAAAATATTTCAAGGAAAATTCTGGACTTGAATGAAATGATTTTGAAGTCTTTGCATCAGTGTAGGGAAAACACAGTTAAAGAATTGTAGCCATGTTAGGCTCCAATTACTTACCTAATAAACTAATAAAAATAAGTCATTTTTAAAACCAAATGCCTCTAGTGCCAGAGTTTTAAAAATCATGAAAAAAAATGTTTATATAGAGACAAAACTCTCTTTCTGTGTTCTCATACATATACCATTTTGAGTCAATGTGGAGTTAATAGGTACCTACCTTAGACCTCAGCTAGAAATTTACATTTGTTTTCAAATAAATACAGAACAAGCCCTGAGTATCTGGGATTGGGAGCATACATACATCTCAAGGATGAGGACTAAGGAGACTCTCAGCTTCTTGAAGACACCCAGAAAGAATCAATTCCTCAATCTAGGCCCCAGTCTAACCTGGATAACTTGCTTTATGGATCCATGCATTGTATAAAGTGCATAAGTCTCAAGATACAAGACCCAACTTATAGCCCAGCACCACCCCATCTGCTAACATTGTCTATCACCTTGAGTAAGACAATATGCTTCCTTTTATCCTTAATTAACTCGTCTCTAACTTGGAAATCTTAGATGAAATAATTGCAAAGATTCTTCCATGAGTTTTTGAGYTCACAGATGCCTCTCAGTGTGATCTCAGTCAATGTCTCTTGTCCTACATACTCTCTTCAACTTTGTGGCTGGGAAACTGTCTCCACCTCTGTCTCCCTGCCCACAGGCCTTGTGCAATGGTTGTTCCAGACTTTGAGTTGATCTGTGAGATCATGCTGGTGGCAGAAGGATTCATTGAAGCTCGGTTGTTAGCCAGGAAGTTCATTACCCTTTACCAGTTGTGTAAAGAGCTTCTCTCCAAACAGGTAAGACCTTTAGGGAGGCTGATATGAACAAAAGCCCCACCAAGGCCCCGACTCTGGAAAGGCTCTGGGGCCAATGGATTCGAAATTTCTAATGTAGAGAATTACTGTGCCCATAAACATACTACAAGCTCTGAGTGCTTCTGAAATAAAGATAGGTGCTCACTTTTTAGATCAACATTTTTTTTAAAAAAAATTCTTCAACCACAGAACTCCATTTTTCACTAGAATACTTAGCAACGCCTCACAGACATAATTGTCCCCTAAGAAGCATTGAAATGGCTAACAAAAATCCTTGGAGGGAATAGTTTCTACCTGAAGGGCCATGAAATGAAAAGGATGTTGGGAAAAGAGTTAGGTATAGCTAGCCTCCTGCTTCTCACTGCTGTTTGTCCCTCAGTGTAGCCTCTGGCTAAGACAGGCTCCCCTCCCAGGGGAAAAGCACTTTAACAAAATATGTCTAAGCATCTACAAGGTTGATGCCTTGGATGGAGAATTTCTTGGTGGCAAAGGCAGCAATGAAGTTTCCCTGAGCTGTTCCAAGTGAATTTCGCTTCTCTTTGGCGTCTTCTTGCATTGATCACCTTTGCTGTCACGACACAGGCTCTCTCCGCCCTCTGCATTCTGTCCAAGGAGGAGGAAATTCTGTTTKCATCTCATTTCCTGTAGTATTGATTCTCCCTGAAGCCTCATCCCTTGTCTGGGCTGTGCCTGCCTCAGAGCCAGAAAATGCCAGACCAGGATCTGGAACTCTGGGATCAGAATTTTCTAAGTCCTGAATCCTCTCCCAGGCATTTGCCTGGACTCCAAAAATGACCTAGGATATGTGTTATGTATAATTTCGTAACCTGAGCATATGGCGCTCTGCATCCCAGCAACCTGGGTCTCATCTACATAACTTGCCCACAGGATCACTATGACTGGGGCCTGCGGGCCATCAAATCTGTACTCGTGGTGGCAGGATCCCTGAAGCGAGGGGACCCCGACCGACCCGAGGACCAAGTCTTGATGCGCTCCTTGCGAGACTTCAACATCCCCAAGATTGTGACAGATGACATGCCTGTGTTCATGGGCTTGATTGGGGACCTCTTCCCTGCCCTGGATGTCCCCCGAAGGAGAAACCTGGACTTCGAAGCCTTGGTCAGGAAGGCGGTAGTGGACCTAAAGCTCCAGGCTGAGGACAACTTTGTGCTCAAGGTACGTGATGCTTGTCCTCTTGAGCTCTGTCTCTTCATTTTGTTCTCAGACCATGAGTTGTCCCTTCATCCTTAATCCAAAGGGTTTCTTTAGATACACGGAGATTATCCAGTTAGAAGTAGTTTAATCCATTTCAGCCATTCTTTTTGGTTGCTATTTTTTTTTATCAGAGCTTTATAGTTATACACAGTAGTTGGGTTCATCCCGACAAACTCATGCATGCATGGAAATTGATTTCAGTTCACGATCCCACCTTTTCCCCTTTTCATTTTTTTTCTCTCTCATTCTCCCTCCCCTCTCCCCTTCTCCTTCCTCAACTCCACATGACTGCCTTTTGCTTGTCTATTAATTTATATTTGATTGGTTCTTTATATGATCCTATCCTTCCCTCCCCCTTTCTATCAGAGAAAAATGAAGAAAACCCTACCATCTGCATCAAGAGGAAACTGATGGATTTCACAGTAAAGACCTGAAGGAAAAAGCTGGACCTTTAGTACAAATAGAACTAGCTCAGTGGCTGTAGGAGCCAGTGTGCATTKAACGGCTCTTTGTCTGCTACAGGGGCTGCAATTGCAGACGAAGGACCTGTAAAGCCATCTCCCCTTCGTGAATTAGTAAAGAAGGCTCCATCTGAACTGGATCCTCAATTGTGATTAATATGATCTCTATCAAAATCAAACATACTCAGCATCCACCCCTGGAATAAAGAAGCACAGGAGCTCAGGTTTAAGGGTGCAAAGGATGTACTGACTGTGAGACAGGGTGCCATTGCTGAGGGAATTAACTGYGGTAGCATTTTCACTGGGGTTAGAACTCAGTTTTTGAGTTTTGAGGGCTTTGCATACAAAATTCTCCATATTTTGAATGGCCTATCCCCACCCTGTTTTTCCACAGGTCTGTCTTTTTACAGTGTCATGGTGCAGAAGGTAATGTTTTCAGGATGAATAAAATGTCGTGGTAGAAGAAATGCCTGCACATGGAGTATAATTAAAGCTTAGAGTGGGAGGAAACAAGTGCCACCAAGAAGGGCGGGGGTCCTGAAGTTCAAATAGATGTGGACAGATTGTTTTCCTGTGTAATCACATGTGTAAGAAATACGTGAGCACCGTTTTAGAGTTCGAAGGTGGTTTTATATTCTGTATCACATTTGATCCCTCAACACCCCCTAAGGCAGAGGATGCAGATGAAGCATTTTACTTTTCCAAGGTGCTCCACTAAGATATCTCCTGGGAGGGAAAGTGCTCCCCCTGCAGGAACTATGGCTCAGGGGCAGGTCCCTTCTACTCCACTCCAGAAGCTGTTTCTGGTACACAGTAGTTTCACTGGTAGAGATTTAAGCCCCAAATATATATAAATAGAATCAAGGATGAAGTGAAATATCTCCTCCTTACGGCAAGCAGGTGCTTACTTTCATTTATGGGAAAGAGAGCAGAGCATTACCCGGTCCTCTGCAGCTGTGACCGTTTCTGCCAGTTGGCCCCTTCTCCCCCCTCCCTATGTCCCTCCTTCCAAGTTCAGAGTGCAGGTTTTTGAAGTAGAAAAGAGGGTAGGATGGCCTTCAAGGTAGAGAGAAAAGGATCAGCAAAGGGGCATATTGCGGGAAACAGATGGTACAGGCATCAGCAGGAAGTCCAGTGTTGCTAAAGGCAATGGTATTAAGGCAATGGGCGCCAGAGTAGTGGAGAGCAGGACTCAGGCAATAAGACTTAAAGGACAATATGGGACCAGGTCAAGAGCTTTCTGCTAAAGGGTCTAATCCTAAGAGATAGTCTCACCCCAGAGATGGGTTAAAGGTGATAAGGTTCTCAGGATGCCGTGTGCTAAGGATGAGGTCTTAGAATCAGGACAGCCTGTATCTTGCTAGACCTTCTGGGATCTGGTCATGGCACATCCTTCCTCCATATTCTGCATCTTTTTTCCCTTTCAGAGCCTTACCCTTTCTCTCTGTGTACTTAACAGCTGGGTGACATCGTGCTTCCTTCTTTCCTTACATCTTCTTTGTAATAGCTGCTCCCTGATTTTATATTAAAAGGAAAGTAGAGACTCTCCACTTGGAATAGATGATGCCTCTACCCACTTTTTATTTGCACCGTCCGCTTGAATTTGGGGGAAATAATTTCTCAAAGCTGATTGTGAGGCTCTGGTGGGATCCCAGAATCCTTTAAAAGTGGTACTACGTACTACAAATCTTTATTTTTTTTTAAGAAAGAGGAATAGACTCGTAGAGTACTAGAAACTTGAAAGGGAGCATTACAATACATTTCTGGAAGAGGGTTAGATCCAATGGAATAGAGGGGGCTGCAGAACACTTCGAAAGGGCTTTGGGGAAAGAGGGGCCAGGAGGCAGCTATTCTGCCAAGCAGAACCCTGGAGAAACTCTAGGCTTGGAGTTTCAGGAGGGCAGGAATGAGAAAGAGAACCAACATAGCCAGGGGTGGGAGAAGCATCATCAAATCTATTTACCCTATAATTTTGCTACTTGGCTTTCCATACTCTTTTCACATTATCTTCTTTCAATTCCCAATTCCCAAGCAACGCAGGCCATCCACAAACAGGCATTTAACTCAAAGCCAAAAAGAAAAAAAGAAAGTCTTTAAGAAAATTTAATAAAGTTCTTCGAGGGAAACAGAGACTACTATTGGGGTATTGGGTATTCCGAATTAGAGCCCTTCCATTCTGGGGCCCTCAATAGAAGGCCAGTTTCAGCTCAGGCACCCACAGATGAAGGGACAAAGATGAAGGCCAAGGTCTGATAATGTCCACAGAGCTTCTCCTCCATCCTCCTACCCCACACAGAGACCTACATGGAATTGTATGCTTTGAAGGGTTGAATTTTATGGTATGTGAAATATATCTCAAGAAAGGGGCTGAAGTGAAAAAAGGTGGAATTAGGAAGTGATTTTCAATGGATTTATTTTTCATTGGTGCCTATAGTCCTACACAGAAATGGAATTCATTATGATCTGCTCCTTCCTGCACATGGCACAGTGTGGGTACTTTCATTCATCCCTCCTCTGCCCTCTCACTCTCCTTCCTATACTGCTCTCCCATCCCTTTCATGAGATTCTTTCCACCACCCACTTTTTCTTTATTTTATTTTTATGTGGTGCTGAGGATCGAACCCAGTGCCCCGTGCATGCCAGGCGGGCGTGTTACCATTTGAGCCACATCCCCAGCCCACCACCCACTTTTTCTGAATCCCTTATTTCTCTCTAGCTTCTGCATTAGAAGAGAAAACACACAACCTTCAATTTTCTGCTTTTGGCTTCTTACACTTCACATAATTTTCTCCAGTTTCATCCATTTACTATTAAAAGACAAAATTCCTTCTTTATGGCTGACTAAAACTCCATTGTGTATATGGACCACATTTACCTGTCTATCCTGCTCTTTGTTATTTATCCAGAAGAACTAAGACCCACATACTTTAGTAATGCATGCACATTCATGATTACAGCAGCACAATTCATGGTAGTCAAGTTATGAAACCAGCCAAGGTGTCCCTCAGTAGAAAATGATTTGTTGTTGTTGTTGTTGCTGTTGTTTGGCATCAGGGAATGAACCCAGGGATGCTTAACCACCAATCCACATCCCAGCCCTTCTTTTTTAAAAATAATATTTTAGTTGTAGATGGACACAATACCTTTACTACCTTTATTTTATTTGTTTATTTATATGTGGTGCTGAGGATTGAACCCAGGGCCTCACATGTGCAAGGCAAGCGCTCTACCACTGAGCCACCACCTCAGTCCCTCCCCAGCCCTTCTTATGTTTTAATTTGAGATTGAATCTTGCTAAGTTGTTTAGGGCCTCTCTAAATGACTGAAGCTGGCTTCGAACTCCTGATCCTCCTGCCTCAGCCTCCCAAGCTGCATCACAACGCCTGTCAGAAAGTGATTTTAAGTCCTCCTAGTATCAGAGTATGATGCCATTGTTCAGTTGATTGTATTTGGGGAGAAAAAAAGGAGAAACCTGGGTACTTTAGTCAGCGTTTTCACTGTCGTGGCTAAAAATCTGACAGAACAATTTTAGAAAAGAAAAAATTTATTTAGGGGCTCATGGTTTCAGAGGTCTCAGTGCATAGACAGCTGGCTGAATTCCTCGGGGCTCAAGGTGAGTCAGAACATCATGGCAGAGAGTATGGCAGAGGGAAGCGGCTCACATGATGCTCAGGAAGCAGAGAGGGAAACTCTACTCACCAGATGCAAAATATATACCCCAAAGGCACACACCCCCAACTCCTACCTCCTCCAGCCACACTCTATCTGCCTTCAGTTACCACTCAGTCAATCCTGTCAGGGGATTGATTAACTGGTTAGGTTCAGGCTCTCACAACCCAATCATTTCTCCTCTAAGCCTTCTTGCATTGTCTCACACACGAGCTTTCGGGGGACACCTCTTATCCAAACTGTAGCACCTGGGAGTATAACATAGTCTCTACTCAGCAGCAAGAAACCCCACAACCACTACTCTCCCTGTCCTCCTCCTGTTTTTCTTTCTCCTCCTCCTCTTCTCTTCCTCATCTCCCTTTTCCTCTTTTTCCTCCTCTTCTTTGCTTTTCAAAAACCCAATGACCTCAGGTCAACACCATGTTTAAAACCCTCCAAATGTTTTCAATCATACTCAGAATAAAACACCAACTACCAATCCTTGCATGTCTGACCCTGCTTAATCTCATCTTCTACCATCCTCCCATTTTTCCCTTCCCTCCAAGCTTAATGCTCTCACTCTACCTGGTTGGCTTCCCCCTGCTGGTCCTTACATGGTGACTCTTTGTCATTCATGACTTAAGCATCACTCCCTTGAAGATTCTCTTTCCTCATTAGTTTCTGGGAAGATTCTGCATCAAGCCCACTAGCTCGTACTTACGTTTTATTTTGAGATAAGTTCTCTCTCTCTCTCGTTAAGTTGTTTAGGGCCTCACTAAGTTGCTGAGGCTGGCCTTGAACTCACAATTCTCCCGCCTCAGCCTCCTGAGCTGCTAGGATTATAGGTGTGCACCACAACGCCTGGCATCCTAGGAAGAGTAATGCCTTGAGATAGAGAAAAAAAACATTAAAACAAAACCTCAAAACACTGATGCTCTGGGAAGCAAAATGCGAATTAACATCTTAGTCCATTCTTCTGCCACAAGTAAAATTGGCCATCTTGCCTCGAAATAGCCATTTATCTGCTGCCTTCATGTTGAACTGGTTACTGACACTCTAGTCTTATTTCCCTGGCTATACAACTCTAAAATTCTTTCTAACATCAGTATTATTTAAATTCTTAAAGCATGAGTCAACATTTACCATTTTAAAGTATAGAATAAATAATTAAATGCATGGTAGAAACTTTCCATTTTCTCATCACCCTGTGAATATTTGGGTGCATTTTCTACTCCTCTCCTGAGAAAGTTTTATTGTGCAAAATATGAAGAAACCTGATCTACTAAAACATTCAGATATTTTGACTCATGATACACAAGACCATTCATGATATAAAAATCTAGACTTTTCCAATCATCTTTTTTTTTTTTTTGAGGGAGGAGGTATTGGGGATTAAACTCAGGGGCACTCAGCCACTGAGCCACATCCCCAGCCCTATTTTGTATTTAGCAGGGTCTCACTGAGTTGCTTAGTGCCTCACTTTTGCTGAGGCTGGCTTTGAACTCACAATCCTCCTGTCTCAGCCTCCCCAGCTGCTGGGATTTCAGGTGTACACCACCGTGCCCAGCCTCATCCTTCATATTTCAACCAATATTTGTTCAGTCCTTGGCATGTGCCAGATTCTCTGTTAAGACACTAAAAGGAGAGAGAGGAAGCCCAGCCCTGTGTACCTTCAGTGAACTGATCAGCAAGTGCTGAGACMGAAGAAATTACTGTGATATCATCAAGTGCTAGGATGCAGGCTGTGGGTCCAGCACACCTACCCCACATGGAAGGCTTCCCACAGGGATTGGCCAGAGGCTGGCAGGAAAAAGGGAAACTTCCAAACAGGAGGCAGAGTACGTTCAAAGGCACAGGGAAGAAAATCATCAATTGAAGAGCTCCAAGTAGTTGTTAGATAGAAAGGGCAGGTTAAGGGATGAGAGATGAGAGTGGAGGCTGACCTGGGTCAGATTGCAAAAGGGCCTTGTAAACCAGTCTCAGGATTTAGGTCTTTGTCACCAGAGGTATGAAGAACCTTTGAAGGGCAGAGGGACAATAGTGACCTGGTTCTGGTAAGTATACTTCTATGACACTGTGAAAAGCTGCACCTGGAGGCCAGGCAGACCAAGAGTCATCTTCAATGCCACTACTCTCCTCCATCCCACTAACCCATCCAACCAACCACGTCAGGCTCTGTCACATTGCAAGACTTTGATGATCTGTTAGGATTAGGGTTAGGGTTACCTCTACTTGAAATATCCCTCCTGGGCATCTTCTAGATAAACTCCTACTCATCCTGGGCCTCCAGCTCAAATGCATCCTCCTTTGGGAATTCTTCCTTGTTCCCATTATTTTCAAAATCAATTGTTCCCTCCTCTCCATTCCCATAGCACCATATAAACACCTCTCTCACTGGGAGCAGCAGCACATGTCTATAATCCCAAAGACTTGGGAGGATGAGGGAAGAGGATCTCAAATTGGAGGCCAGCCTCAGCAATTTAGCCAGAGCCTGTCTCAAAATAAATATATAACAAAGGGCTGCAGATGCATCTCAGCACCCCTGAGTTCAATCCCTAGTACCAAAATAAATAAATAGTCACCTTACACCATAATAATTTGTCAACATGATTTTCCTTTTTTAGTTTTTTATTGGTACATTACACAGAATACTGGGATTCTTTATTATATATTTGTACATATTCATACGCTCATAATACTGGGGAACAGAATTGTCAACCTGACTTTCTTCTCCATCAGACTATGAGATTGCAAATCAATCTCCCTCTTCTGGTACACTGTCTAGCACTCCATTGGTGACTAATAATTTCATGACTGCATGAGGAACACATGAATAAATAAATTGTGTTGCCCTTATATCCCAAACTCATTCCAAATACATTTTGGGGGTAAATAATGCTTCCTGTTTTGACTGCAGTTCCCACCTCAGACTGGCTCCCGTGGGCATGTAGTTGAGTGACAAGTTGGTCCCTCAGGTCCATCTTCCTGTCCCCACAGGTGGTCCAGCTGGAGGAGCTGCTGGCAGTGAGGCACTCCGTGTTTGTGGTAGGTGCGGCTGGTACCGGCAAGTCACAGGTGCTGAGGTCCTTGCACAAGACCTATCAGATCATGAAACGTCGCCCTGTCTGGACCGACCTCAACCCCAAAGCGGTCACAAATGATGAACTCTTTGGCATCATCAATCCGGCCACGAGAGAATGGAAGGATGGTAAGAGTGGGTCTCCCRGGGAGAAAGCTCCTGCTATCCTGCAGTCCTTTGGACAGGCTTCAATATCCTGGGGCGAACTGCAGCCGAGAGGGCTTTGAATGATGAGCTTGGGACCACAGGAGATGTGAACACCATTGAAAAGGAGGAGTTTGGGCTGGAAGGGAACCCCAGCTTTTCAGATGTTTTCCCTCCTTGGAGACCTCTTTCAGTGACCTTTTGGAAAGGTCTCCTAAATAAAATAAAGCAGGGCAGGTTTTCAATGGTATTCGAAGATTCTGGAGCCCACAGCAGTATGGATCCCTACACTGCCCGGTGAGTGGGTTTAAGGCGTGGCGAGGTAGGGAAGCCCACGGTTCACTTCCCAAGAAGGGGTGCAGGCTGGCATGCCCCAGGCACACCTCTGCCTCCATCAGAGCCAAACTGTCTGGATGTCTTTCATTTAGGAGCGTCCGTCAAAAGCCTGGAGCAGGGAAATTGTAATGAGCAGCATCTCTAATTTTTATTTCACTGACTGTTAGTGAGGCCTAGCATCTTTTCATTCTCATTGGTCTTCTTGTGTTTTATTTCTCCCTGTTATTTTGAATCAGCGGGTAAGAATTCTTCATATATCAAAGATATTAACTCTCCATCTGTGATTCACACTGCGAATGCCCCCCTCCCCATGGATCATTTGCTCCGTAGACTTTTTTATGGCATATTGAGCCATACATTTTTTTTTAAAAAAAAAAAAAAAAGGAAAATTATGTCTGTCTAGTCATTTTAGCATCTGGGATTCCTATTTAGTTTATAACTCCTTCTAATTTTCAGCTACAGATGTAGTATCATAAATTTGGTCAATAAGGATTTTTTACATTCACATTTTTTTTAATCCATCTGGAATTTATTTTGGGGCTTAGTATGAGGTAGAATAGAAAATGAACTTTATTTTCTTCCAGATGGGTAATTGATTGTGCCAGTATCAGTATCATTGATTAAATAAACCATCCTTTCCCTCTGAATTTAAACGCCAGCTTGTCATTTATTAAATTCTAGGTGCTGAGTTCTGATTCTGGGCTTTCTGTTGTGTTCCACTCCCCTACTTATCTAATCCTGTACTAATATCAGTCTATTTTAGTAACAATCATTTGATAGCATATTTTAATACCTGATAAGATTAGTTCTTCCATATTCTTCAATAGTCTTATAATTTTGTTGGATAGTCTTAGGCACTCCCTTTTCCATATTATATTTAAGTTCAATAATATAATTCCACATTTTAAATTTTGTTGGGATTATGACTAAAATTTTTATTAAATGTATTCATTTACGTTGGTGAAATTAACAAAGATATAATAATCACAATTCTATAGTCGCTGAATAAGATATCTGTAGAGTAAATGGCATATAGGCTTGTAARGTTTTTAGGAAAAACTTGATAAAAATAAAATATGGTGGGTTATTTTAATATATTCTTTTCAAAATTAGAAAATTCCAGGAGACAGAAAAATAAGTATATATAGAAAGGAATTTGTAAATACATCATSAAGCTCAATATAACACATAGTCACAGAACTCTGCATCCTATAAATAGAAAATATTTTTTCTTAGTTGGTTCATGGAACATTTCCAAAAATTAAAAATTTTGTTGGCTTCAGAGGAAGCTATATTTAATTAAAAAGCATCAATTTATAGGCCACATTCTCTGATATTGCAACAGGATTAAAAACAACTAACAAGAAAATTATCCAGACTAATTTTACTACTTCCAAATCAAGAAATGTTCTCTACCTCTGGATCCAAAACAAAATTAAATTCCCAAGCCTCTCAGAATTAATAAAAAGAATACTTTATATGAAATCCATGGAATACCTCTAAACCCTATAAGGAAAAATTTTATCATGGAAGGTAGGCTAGAAATAAAGGAAGTTAGMATCTATATTAAGCAATTGCTCAAACTAAACTTGAAGAAAATGAGTGAAAGAAAATTAAGAAAGATAAAATCTGAAATTAGTCTGAACAGATGCAAAACAAATCATAGAGAAGATAAATACAAACATTTTTACATAAAGAACAATACGTTCATTGTGTACATAATGGGGAAATGGGTAAATACTTATATATGATTAGGAATTAGAAAGGATATATAATAGTAAATATAAACAAGATTAGCGTATTTAAGTAGATGACACATATTTGAAAAACTAGAAGAAATATAAGATCACCTAGCAAAATATAAATTAACAACATATATTCAACAACAAGTAGAAAAATTGAGTAACCTAATTTAAACAAAATATACAGAAAGTAAAAGAACAAAAACAAGTAATTTCAAAAATCATAAAAAGGATAGCTCTGAATTAGTTCATTTTATGGAGCTCAAATAATCTTTTTTTTATATATACATATTTTTTTAAAGAGAGAGAATTTATATATATATATATATATATATATATATATATATATATATATTAGTTTTCAGCGGACACAACATCTTTGTTTGTATGTGGTGCTGAAGATC